CTATTAGCAGAAGATGATGTACATGCTAATTTCCTTTTATGGGAATCTTCTGGTTAATTAAAACAGACGAGGGTCTCCTTGTGATAACTCTAAAGCCTTGGACAAATGGTTTCCCCAGAGAGTTGTACATACATTAGAGTTGCATTTTTGTTTATTTTGAGCTGTCTTGTTAGGGAAGGATTTATATGCTGGCATTGACATAGGACAGCAATCAGACATTGTTTTCTGCCTTTGACAGTTGGCGTGATAGTTTGCTTCCAGTGAAGTTTGACTCACTGTATCTGGAAGCTGTCAGAAGTGGGAGCATGAAAAGGTCATGACGGATGGCCATGGATAAGTGGGTAGGGGAGGAGAGCTGGTAAAAAAGACAAGGAGCTTCCCTTATTTCTGAGGGAAGCGGCTGACCCTGTCCACTTCGGGCCAGCCCTCACGCTGTCTTCCTCGCTTCCCACAGCTGGTCGGGTGGAGCCTGCCAGGCGCCGTTTGTGCGTGTGGCCCCAGGGTGGTCGTGGTGCCGCCACGGGAGCCCTTCCCAGCGGCTCAGCCACCTGGGTGCTTGAGAACTGCTAGGTGGAGGTAGTCTTCGTTTAGGGCTGCTTTCATGCTTATCAATCACAGGATTCAACATACTCCCTTCCCCACACTGTAAAAGTTGGGAAAGGGTACTGAATCCTGAAGTAGAAACCAAGAAAATGTCAGCTCCTAAAATGATGTTTGTTTTTATTTTGGGTGAAATTTCTGTTTCGGAAAAATACAGAAAAGGAAAGGATGTAATCCTACTAGCCAGAATTGACCACTGTTACCAGTTTGGAGCGTATCTGTTAGATCCCCTTTCTATAAATATTTTTCCTGTCCTTTTCACTTAGCTTCACAAGAATTTTTCCAAGTCAAAGCTTTTCTCAGACATAGTTTTTCATGGTTGTGTTGTATTCCATCATGGTTGGATTAACTATTCCTCTATTGGCCATTTAAGTTGGAGAAATGTAAACTTAATGAAAGCTAACTTCCGTTGTTTTCTTGGACGTATGTTTATAATTTGAATTACTTAAAAACAGTGCTTAAGTGACACTTTAAGGAGCACGCCTGTCTTTCCTTTGTGACTTTACACAAAAGCTTTAGCCAAGAACATTAAAACCATACTCAGCGGTCATACAGAAGAATATTGATAGGATTTCATCCTCCGGTTTGCCATGTCTGAACAAAAATAGGTGTGTGTTTATTGGCACATTGGAATGTTTATTTGTTCCTTGGTAAAAATCGAAAGAGGATACTAAAGACTAGTTAAGCAGCATTCCTCATTACGTCTGGACCCAACTGAATGAGGCTGTGCAGAGCAGTGGGAAGTACCATACTTGGGAACCAGGCATCTCTGGGCTTAAAAGCTCCCCAACCTTGGACAAGCACCTTCACCCCTCCTAGGGCATTGTTATATAGAACACCTAGCACAGTTCTTGCAGAATAGCATAGTGGCTAAGAGGACAGATTCTAGAGCCAAATTTCCTGGCTTTCTCCTAATTCTAGCTTTGCCGCTTTTTTAGCTGTGTGATCTTGGGCAAGTTACTTAACCTCCCTGTGCTTCAGATTTCTCACCTATAAAATAAGGATAAATACAGGAACCAATGTGATAAGAGTGTCCTGAGATTTGAATCAATGCAAACAAAGGATTTCTAACGAAACTAACATATATTTGCTGCCAGGTAATGTTCACCCCTCTTTGCCCCTGGCCTGGACTGTGGTGCCCGCCTCCTAACTAGTCTCCTCTCCACCAGGCTGCTACCTCCTTCCAACCAAGAAGGACACCTTGGACTCCCAGGGACCCCCAGAAGAGGTCTCTGTTTGCTGTCAGGCTGGGTTCTAGAGACTCTCTTCGGCAGTGGGTTCTGGGTACGTTCAGGAGAATGGGCTCCAAGGCTAGACTGCCTCAGACCCTCCTAAACTGGAAAGCAGAGGGTTGTCACTTGTGCAGCCAGAGCAAATCAGCCCCTGTGGGCGGTGTGCCCTGCTTTAAGAAGCTGAGACTCACACACATCTCAAGTAGGGTGAGATTATTTAATGTACAAAAGGATTTTTCCCATCAGGAAAGAGGCCCCTACAGGTTCCTTTAAATAGTGACTCCTCTAGGCAGGCGAGTGTTTTACAGATCATTAACAACTTGACTGAAAGCCTGCAGGGCAGAGAAACTTAAAACTAAAGTGTTGGGAGCCCCTGCCAATGACAGATCAATCCAAAATGAATATAAAGTATCTCTGGAACTAGAAGTCAGTGGGAAAATGTGATTTGATTCAGAAGAAAATCTGATTCACAGGCAACTTGTTTGGAACACAGCAGTTGTTTAAATGGTGTTCCACCTGCCTGCCCGTCTTGAACCTAATGCATTCATCTCCCACATCTTCATCCCCAAACGCCAGATTTGGGGTCCCCTCTGCAAACAGTGACTGCACAATAACCCCCGGGAAGGGCGTCATTGGGAAAGTGTACTTGTGGCCGTGCAGAGCGCAGGCAATTGATGCAGAGATACAGCCCGAAATGGATGAACTATACAGTAACAATTTGCAGATAAAAATAATAGAAGTTAAAGTGTACTTTACATGATAAAAGAAAGATGAAAGAGGATGAGAGTGTGTTACATCTGAGATGGTTACAAAAGTCCTGCTTTGTGAAGTAGGCTCTGTTGAAAAGATTGATGCCATGGGGAGTGACCTTGGCTTGGAGCAGGAGCTGGTGATGTATGTATGAGCATCCCTCTGCTAAATGGACCCAGATTTGTAGCACTAATATACATGGGAGCCCAGAACCAAACTCAGTATGGCAATAAATCAACAGCCACTTTGGGTGTCATTTCTGGTTTATATTCCACTATTGTTCTATCACTTTAATTCATGTCACTATCATCTTTTCATCTGGAACAGTTTTATATAATTTTCCAGTGGAGTTACCTGACAAATCCTATCAAATTAACAAGGTACATTAACAATATTGACTGACTACGGCTTCAGGAGTTGCAGGGCCATAGAACAAAATTTTAAAGCCGTGCCTCTCTGGTGATGATTTTTTTTCACCCTCTCTTTCCGAGAAGGGAATGTGGGGCAGGGTTTATTCCACATAAGAGATATGCACATTTATTTTGCTCTGCTCGTTTTTGACTTTTATAAAAGTCAAAATAAGAAGCAGAGAAAGGAGGGGGGACAAAAAACCAAAAACAACAACAACAAAAAAAACCACTTGCTACCAACAGCCTTGGCGTAAGTACTTTTCTTTTTTCAGGGAACTATAGACATGTCCAGATCTTTAACAATTAATGACCAAATTGGAAGGAAGAGTGTAACTGGGTAGTCGTAATCTATTTTAAGTGAAATGTAATAAAATTGGTCTCCTGATACATTCTCACCCTCCTGAAATCATCTAGATCTGAACAGCCAGAGTCCATTGGACTTATGACATTATGCCTAATTGAAATATGGTGTTCCTGAAATATGTCTAGTGACAAATTCCAGCATTCAATTAATAAAAAAATACCAATTGTTCATCTTTTCCAAAGACCACACAGAAATGACCAGGGTTAAGCAACTGTACTGCATTGTCTCCTCTGAAGATAGCAGACGAGACTTTACTGGAGTCTATGTAGTCTCTTGCCTTTGTCTGACTGCTGTTTGGGACTTCTTTATTCCTAAATTAAAATAGAAATGAGTGTGTGGCAGACCTAATCACTAGAATTTTTTTTATATTTGTTTTCTTGTTTAATTTTAAATTTGCTCTAAGACTATAGTCATTGTGTTACTTGGGTTTTTTGTTTGTTTGTTTCTTAATTGAGTGGTTTCTTTTATTGGCCTTTTCTTTTGGTCTACGAAGTTTTCTCATGTTGTATTGAAAAATTTCTGAGTGTGATCCATGGGATGAAATGTATTCATTCTATTGTCTTTTTCTTACAGTATGTACATTTGATAGTTTTAATTATCTCCTATTTTTACTTGATTTTGCTTTTTTCCACTTTGCCTCTGACCTTTAAAGTATGGCCTAAATATTAATTACTTTCAAGATTCTCTCTGGGGCCCATTCTGGAAGGCATATTGAAGGTTTTTGTCTCATTTCATGAACAGATTCCTCAATTTTCAGCAAAAGGGGAAAAAGAGAGCGTATAGCCTAGACCGTGTGTGTCAAGCTGAGCATATACTGCTCAGTGACACTGGGAGAGCAATTGCTGTGCATGCCACAGTTATCCTTGGACACCTTTCATCCCTGGCATTACCTTTGTTCTCCGAAAACCTTTGCTCCCAGTCACTGTACAATATGTTACGTCTTTCACAGCTCTGAAAATGAAACCTGAAGTGCCAGTATTTAACATGCTGGATTCCTGTTATAAAGTCTTTGTTGCATAAAGCTCACACCCAGTGCTGTTTCTCCCTCAGCGGAGAAGCAGTGACCTCCACAGACTGAAGCCAAGCTCCAAGACTTAAACTTGGAAGGTTTTATGTAAAGGACCCTTTGATCCTCCTGTGACTTCCTCTCAATATAGCTTGGATAATTATTTAGTGTCAGAGAAGGGAAAAGATAGAGTTTTCCCTATTTTTAGTGCGTTAAGATTTTTCTAGATCAGGAAAAAAAAAGACCACTGATCAAAATTGTTTTTTTAAATGAACCTTATGTTATGGTTTATTTCATTACAATACAGAGGTGTTATGTAGGGTTAACAATATGTAGGTAAACTGTATTATATCTGTGGTACATCTAGGATGGCATGTTTCTTAATACCTTTTTTGTATGGGTTTTGGTGGTTTCTCCCCCCAGCTCACCCACCCAGGAAACCAGGCTGTGCACTTCTGTGTGCCGTTTAGGGTCTCTTAAGCCGGTGGCATTCCCCAAAGCCGTAAGAAAGAGCTCTTGTTCATCCAATTTAGGATTTACAAAACAGGTCAAATGATTACACTGAAATCACTTACACCTTCCACTTTCTGTGGCTTCTTTTTTTGTCCTCCCCCCACCTCCCCACCCCGGCCTTACAGGTATCTCTGGAGACAAAGTAGAGATAGACCCTGTTACGAATCAGAAAGCCAGCACTAAGTTTTGGATTAAGCAGAAACCCATCTCAATCGATTCTGACCTGCTCTGTGCCTGTGACCTTGCTGAAGAAAAAAGCCCCAGTGAGTAGTCCCTTTTATTTATGTCTCCTTTCTCTCTTCCCCCTCTTCCCTTCTGTGTGCTGGGTGCCAGGAGAATATATTGCCACCGTGTCCTTTTTTCCTTGGGTCTGTTTAATTCATTACCAGAAATTTCTTTTAATCAAACAGGATTGTATTATGGTGCCCAGAGCCTGACATGGGCCCCCATCCTGTTAGGTCTTAATGGCAGCAGAGAACCTCACAGCCCCGCTTCAGACCTTAGGAGCCCCGCCCTGGCGGCTGGGGGCCTGGGGGGCAGGTTCCTGCTGAGAATTTGACTCACGAGAGCCTTCATTTCACTTTGTGCTCCCTTTCTCTTCCCATTTGGGGGACTTGAGCAGTCAGAACTGGACCTGCCTTCCTTCTTTGCCAGATCGAGGGAAGCTGGGAGATTTCCTGTGGCAGCTGAAGACTAGATTTAGATATCCATCAAGCCGGAAGTGTCAACACCCTCCAGATTATTGGCAGCTGCATGACCTACCAGCTCATAATTAAACTCCTGCCTGGTCCTGCAGAAGAGATCGCTGCTGGGTTGGCACTCCTCTGCTTAAATTATCAAAGTAGATACAGCCTGGTTGTATATTTTGGCATATTATATTTTTGCAGTTAAGTAATTGAGTGTAGCATTTAGATTAATCATCTTTAAGACTTCAGTCCCATCGAGAGGCAGAAAGGACACAGATCACACTGAAATCCCTTCATGGAAGAAAAAAGTTTCAACTATACAAGAATTTGTTAGTTGCCTGGGGAAGGCTGCAAGACAGCGGTTGTCAGAGTCTGGTACATATTAGCATTGCCTGTGGAGCCTATTTAAAATGCAGTTCTCCAGGGGCGCCTGGGTGGCTCAGTTGGTTAAGCGACTGCCTTCGGCTCAGGTCATGATCCTGGAATCCCGGGATCGAGTCCCACATCAGGCTCCCTGCTCAACGGGGAGTCTGCTTCTCCCTCTGACCCTCCTCCCTCTCCTGCTCTCTGTCTCTCATTCTCTCTCTCTCAAATAAATAAATAAAATCTTATAAATAAATAAATAAATAAATAAATAAATAAATAAATAAATAAATAAATAAAATGCACTTCTCCAGGGCCCATCCCCAGTGGGTTCTTTCTTTTTTTTTTTTTTTAAGATTTATTTATTTTATTAGAGAGAGCGCATGTGCACAAGTAGGGGGAGGGGCAGAGGGAGAGAATCTTCAAGCAGACTCCCTGCTGAGTGGGGAGCCTGACACAGGGCTCTATCTCACGACTCATGAGATCATGAGATCATGACCTGAGCCGAAACCAAGAGTCAGACGCTTACCCGACTAAACCACCCAGACGCCCCTCCCCAGTGGGTTCTGATTCATTAACTTGGAGGATGATGTGAGCTTCTAATTTTTGTTAATCCCCTTTATTCCCGTGCCCAATGAATTAGGGAACAAATGTTATAAGGAATGACATACTCAAAAGGAACAATAAGAAATATAAAGGCCAGCAAGTGTTTATAATATGGTTCAAGTTTTTGAGATAATACTGACTAAACAGGGACCTAAAGAGCACAGAGCCCCCTGAAGGGATCCTATGGACAGGGCACCTGCCACATTGCCTCATTTATGGGTGGGTGTTTGTTTTGTCAAATCCAGCTGTGCTAGGCTACATAGTCTCCTCCTCTCAACCCATTAGTCTCCAGCTTGGCAAGAAGGGAGAACTTAGTGGTACAGGGGGAAAGGAGGCAGTCCGTGCCCACCCCCTCCCCCCTTCCTGCCATTCCTGTCATCCCAGTCAGGAGATTCCTCAAGAATGCTGCCAGAAAGGGCTAGTGAGAAAATTGCTTACTGTTGTGGGGCCCTTGCCTCTGCCTCTAGATAAACATCTTCTTCCTAATTCCTCTCACTCCAGCTTATCAGCCAATAAAGATGTCATTGTTCTAGCATCTTTCTTCCCAAGAATTCAGGATGCTTTGAAAAGTAACATTTTGTAAATTCTCCATGTCTCTGAGAAATGAAAGGCAATCACTTACATGTTGCATAGAGGGATAAGCTGGAATAGAAAGGTTAGGGAAAGAACTAGAAACAGGATTCAGATTTCCTTTACACTCATACAAAGACACTCACTTGCCAAGGAAGGCTGTGTGTGATTCAGGCACTGAAAGGTGAGGGGTGTAACACACCCCATCTAAGGGAAGGAAGAAAAGATGCACAGCCACCACCTCCCAGTTGCCTCTTCCCATCAGGCAGTCAGGAAGGAAGTATTACGCATCTCTGAGAGTGATGCCAAGTTCCAAGCCTTGGGGATACAGAGCAGATGTGGGGCCCACCATTTCAATATCGGCAATCGAGCAAGAGAGTTTTTTCTCTTATTTTCAGACCTACTGGGTGGTTCTGTGTAAAAACTGCACATATGGGTCTTAAAGAGGTTTCGTTCTCTCTCACTCTCACTCCAGAGATCTAGAATTTGTGACTTCCCTGAACAAAGAAGCACACTGCTCCAGTCAGACATTTCCCAAGTCCCTGTGCCCCTATCACAGTGCTTTCCAAAACCATGTTCCTCAAATCTCTAGGTTCTCGGGGGACCTCAGGGGCCTGGGGGTGGGGGAAGGGACAGGTTTGGGCATAAGGCCTCCCCAGTAGAGCGCTACTTTTTTCTACTTGGGGATTCTACATTTTAAAAGTCAACCAATTAAAAAGGATTTTGCTGCTTTAAAAAAAAAAAAAAGTTTGCAAGTTACAGGCTCACAAAATAGAATCCAGACTCCTCAGCCTAGGAGTCTTTACAGACATTGACCACTCCAGGCTCATAACCCCTAATTTCCCATCCTGAATTTGGGCTACAGTCACTGTGAACTGTTTGCACACAAACACACCTTGAATTCTGTGCAGCTGCTGTTCCCACTGCCTGGAATATACCTCCCCGCAGACGCTCCCTCTAGCTGACAGGGGCCTCCAGTTCCTCATGCTTGGCTCCCTCATTTTTCAAGGTCCAGTTCCAGTGTCAGGCTCTCTCTGTACCTTTGTCCCCAGGAGTTTGCCCACATCTCTGGTACAGCACCTCTCAAACTGTGCTGTAGTTACTGACTTGAAGTCTGCCCCTCTCTCCCACCCCCCCTCTCTATCCTCAACTGACTGATCCAGGAAGTGGTTTCTGTATCCTCATCCCTAGCGCTGTGCCTGCAGAATTATCCTCAGTGAATGTTTGCTGTCTTCAAACTGAACTGAATGAGGCCAGAATTTAGAAACCAAAAATTTTTCAGCATAATTTATGTTGTAAAGTGCCCAAAGATGTATTAACTGAATCGGCTTGATGCTGTGTTATTTTTTTTTTATGATTTCCAGTATTTTCATCAAATTAATTCAGTGATTTAATCTAAAAAGTTCATCTTCAAGACCATCATCAGACCACAGAATTAATCTATGGGGCTGCTGCTTCTTCTTCTTCTTCTTTTTTTAAAGGATTAATGGTAACCCTTTTTATCTTTTGTGTCTGTTGAACCTTAGAAAAAAGTTATTTTAACAGCACTAAAGAAATGAAAGTCACTATATTTCATAAGTTTAGCCTGTGATTTTTATCAGCATAGTGATGTATGTTTGTAGCTGAGTTACATCAAAAATTATTCTTGGGGCCTTCTTGAATGAATTATGGCAAGGAGAGAGAGTCTAGAAGTAGATAAGGTTTTTGATTTCTGCAATATATTTCCTTTTTCATGTTTTTATCTCTCGTAACACAAGTGTCTTGCCGAAGACTGGAACGTGTGACCAACTGGAATAATTTAGTTGTGAAAACAGCAGACGTGTTATTAAACAGCCTTCTTCACAAAAAGGCATTAAGTGTTGGAAGGATAATGAAGTTGTCCCGGTCTGTCTTGAGACATGTTTGTCAGAATTTTGAACAGAAAAGAAACGGTTTTTAAAACCTTCGAATATGGCCAGTTTGCAATGTTTATTGAAAAAGCCTCTGTCAAACCATTAATTTGGTCGTCATAAGGAACACAGCTCAAGTTTAATTGATGCCATATCCAAAAAGTATGTGAATAGCAGACTTGGCAAAGGGACTGAGCAATAGAACGCCTGCAGTGAGACACATAATTACACATACCATGGATCAAAAAGACCCAGACTCTGCAGCCAGGCTCCATAAATAGCCGTTCTATGGCTCTCTTTCCTTCCCCTAACTTCTCCCTCTTAGGCTGCGTTCTCAGAGGGAAGATTTATTGCTCTGTCCATGTGAGTGTTTAAGGACCTGGAACTTAATGACTAAATAGATACATGCCTTAGAAGAAATTTGTACATATAAATATGGACTCCTACCAGAGTTAGAGGAGAAAAATCTGTGTATCAAAAGCCCTGAGAAATTAAGAATAAATTCTGCCTTTCTAGATTGGGGGGGGGGAAAAAGGCTGCATGCTGCCATTATTACTCAAATCAGTGATTTCGCAGTCTGGTTTTGCTACTCCTTACGATAGCTTTTGCTATTTTGAAGAATGTCACAAACCTCTAAAAGATGAATTCATTTTAATTTATTTTAATTGAGCAAATATATGTACAGCACATAGGAGGGGAGAACGTTCCCATATCAGAAACTACCATGGCATCCTCCATCCTTATACAGGTCTAAACCTAGGCTTTGGATGTAGCAGGCTCTCTTTTTAAAGTGCTAACCTCAAATTCCAGCACTGAAACAAAAGCAGGGGACCTTCCTTTTAAACTAACACCCTTCAAAGACTCTCAGGCTGGATTTAAATAAAGTACCAGGCTCAACCATGCCAGGTCTGGTTTTATCATAAGAAGATTGTGCAGGTTTCAAGTCTTTAAAGGAAGCAGCCTATCATTAAGAAATCAGATTTAAACCTTAATAAAGTAGCTGTCCTCTTTATAGCTGAAAAGAGCTCTGTATCTCAATTAAGTATAGATAATAGAAAATCTTAAGGAAGCAACATAATAGAGGTAACCTGATTATGTGCTCTTGCAATAGTATAATTTAAAGGAAATCTGATTCTGTTGATGCTGGTGGGGGATTGCTTGTTTGGTTGTTTTTGTTTTGTTTGTTTTGTTTTGTTTTTGTCCAGAACAGTGTTTGGATACAGGATAGGAACTCTTTGGGATTATGAGTTAACCACAACTGCAAGAGACTGTCAGGCCCTCGTGAATAGAACCTGCTACATATTTGAGATGAGATTCAGTTAAGGTTATGAGTTAAATTAGCTGGGCTTATTGGTGACCTCCCACTTAAATGAATCTTTCTTTTCATAAGTACTTGACAAGATCTGTAAAGTAGTGTATTTAATTTACTAATTAAATTAAAGCTACTGAATAATGATTTGTCCACATTGATTTAGCTTAAATAGAAAAGATCAGCATTGTTGTGATCTTCAGCAACCTTAATGGCCAAGCCAGTTAGACACAAAGGCCTCTTGTGTTTTATAGGTCAGAAGTACATAGGTAAGCCCAGGCTGTAATTGAATTGCCTATACTGCACCCTGCAGTTGCAGGTTTCCTTTGCCTTCTCGTTCCATTGTTGCACTGGGCTTAAGAGAATGTTAACGCGGTAATAGGCACTGGGCCTTCCCCATTATACGTCTTGCTATCGAGCGGTTCTGCATGACTAGTTAAAGAAGATGGCAAGAAGATTAATGAAAGCAAGGCTAATACAGAAGGGGGTACTTTTGCAAGACTTCTACAGAGGAGATATTAGAGCTGAACCAGAGCTTGGCTTTTTCTTTATCCTGTGACCTTTGAACCTGCCTTACTGTTGAGAGCTGCCAGGGAAGTCGACATTTTGATTGATGTCGGTACACGAGTCAGTCTTTCCCATTGAATTCCACATCTGCACGAAAATAGCTTTTCCAGCAGAATTCATACTGGCCAGAAGTGATAGCCACGTTGATGGCTGAAATGCTTTTATGTAGTTTTCATTTAAACCTAAAGGTATTTGATGGTTTAATTCACTATCCAGTTTTCATAGATTATAAGCATTCACTTATATGTCCTTAATGGGTTCATCAACTCATAGTGAAAGACCAGCTTTAAGAGTGTTCTTTGCAAAAGAGCTTCAAGCAGGTTTTATGGAGGAGTAAAAGCAGTCATCAAACAAAACCTTCACCATCCTTAAAAAAGAAAAATCAGTCTGAGGGCCCAGGCAAACTGACTTTGAGGTTTTTGTATATAAAGCAAAGTGTCTCACTGTTTCTGGAAAGCTACAGATAGGGAAGTCTGAAATCTTCTTGTGTGTATCCCACCTCAGCCCCAGCTCAGAGGCTCTCTTGATCCACCCAGATGCTGAGTTCCCTGACCTTGTCCTTGGGACACTAGCATTCCATCTGAAAGGGATTGTTATGGTCTACTTGTAAGACAGCCCCGGGCAGATATGAACCTCTTCCTGTGTTCCTACTAATTCTGTTACCTTCCTTGTGGAGCTGCAGGCCATTAGTGTGTGTGTGTGTGTGTGTGTGTGTCTTTGAACGTGCCTTTGTGTGCATCCCCCACCCTCTGTCCCAACAAAGAAGAGTAGGGAGAGTGGCAGAAGGACTCAGGTTTTGTTACTAAAATTGACTTGGGCACACCCCAATCCATATTTGAGTCCTCTGATCACCTGATTTCTTTTTTTCCTATTTGATGGGGGTAGTAGTTCTAGCAGAGAACACGTGCGCACACACTGATGTGACAGGCATTCCAGTTCCTAAAAGAGGAGATACCCAAGATTTTGTCATATTCTTTAGTAGATGTTCGTGAGAATAAAAGAGAAATGAGGATGACGTTAGCCACCCCTGGATGAAAGAGCTACAGCCCCTGGGTGATGGGTGGATGGCCACAACCATACCATGTACTGTAGGCCCCAGTAAGTAAGGCACGGGCATTTATACTCACCTGGGCCTGTAACCAGGAAGACCACAGCCCATCCTTAGGCTCGGATGATTCCCAGGAGGTCCAGGTACTCCAAACATCAGGTGGCAGGTACTCCAAACATCAGGTGGACAAGCTATGTAGTGCTTTTATTCTCTGACAAGGACTTACTTCATAAGTTCCAGATCAAATACGGTAAGTACTGCTAGGTTACAGAACACAATGGACTCTAACATATTAAATGCCCCAGTTATTGAATTGCCTTTTCATAAGAGTACTCTGGAGCACAATCAGGAGCAGGCAGTGCCTCATCCTTTTAACAGATATGTTTCCTAGCCCTATTAAAAGGGGTCTTCATCTATCCTGTCAAAGGGAGTCTGCTGGGGTTTTTTAGTTTAATTACACTATCCAATTAAAACTCCTTGCTGCATTTGGATGCGCCTCTCCTTGGGCCTGAGTGGATATGACATTTACAAGGCTCGCCTTTCAAGCAGACAATAGTGTGATTGATGAGGTGCACGTTCAGTGGAGGAGGCGAGTGCCTGTGGAAGTGCTGCTTAGTGCATTTTGATTTATTTATCATCTCCTTCCAAAACAAGGGAGCTGCCGGGGAGATGGGTTTGGGCAACCAGGGGGGACCACCTCAATTTTTCCAAGTGTGTGGGAGGGAAAGACCTGGAGTGTGCCACAGAATAAAGGTGGGGGAAAACTCTAAGCTTGGGGCCAGCATGCATCATCTACTGCCAGGCTGTATTCTTAGGTTCTCTGACCCAGTTTGGTTTCCAGTAACCTCAAGCTGTGATCTGCTGTTAAATAGGCCATCACTGTATTTCAGGGAACAGTTCTCTGGGGCTGGATAACATTGGCCAGGCCCCTGAGAACTCAGCCGGTGGGAACCAACCCAGCACGTGTGCCGCTGACCTGGTCATTATTAACTGACACCTGATGTTTGCACTAGGCATGCCTATTTATGCCCCCGGCTACGTCCTTTAGAAATCCAGCAGCTTCTGTCCAGGAGCTAAAGTCAGTGCTCAGTGACTCTCTAACTGCCTAGGCACCTGAAGCATTTAAAAGTTGCTTCTAGAATTTGGAATTAGCCAAAAGCAAGTGTGGCTGTTCAACAAAGAGATATGGAGGTACAGTGGAGAACTTCTCAAGATTGTAGTGAAAAGGCAAACCCAACACCTTGTTCTTAACCTACTATTGCTGTTTGCCCTCAGCATATGATAGATGGGACCAATGTGCTTGTCTCTGTAGTTCGAGGAAAAGAGGTGTTTCAGTACAGTGTGTGGTCTTGGGAAGGTCAACACTCTGAATTTAGGAGGCAGGAGATTCTACTCTGAGCCCCAGACAGATAAGAACAACACATCGGCCATATTCATTATCACATACTACAGTTGCTCATAGGAGTTGTTGGGGGGCATGTTTGCTAACTACATAACATGTAAGAATGTCTGTGTTCCTGAGGAAAATTGTCTGGTGCTGAGATTCTCAGTGGGTTTTCATTATCTTCTCTGTAGACCTTCTTCGTTTTTCCCTAGGACTTACTAATGAACAAAGAATATGTTTATGTCAGTTGGAATGTTGATATTTGTTAGAGTAGAAAACATTTTGGGGTATCAACTTTTTTTCCTCCTGGAAAAAGCTTTTTTTTTTTTTTTTTTTTTTTTTTTTTTGCTATTAAGCTTTCACTTAATTGTTGACTTGGGCATTATGGACCCATAATAACAAAACAGGTATAATGGAAAATTTGCATACATTTATATTTTCCTAGATTTTGATTACCATCTCTTCAAATTTTTTCTTTCCTGATTTTAACATCAGAAGGGATCCTAATTGAGAAGAGGGTAAGGGCAGAGACTGTTCCCTACTGAAAAACTGTGAAAGATTTCACAGCTGGATAAATGATAGGAAAAATCTGTTTCCCTTGCCTCCTGCCAAGCTCCAAATTGTGTTTTCATAATAAATAAATGGGGTGCTTAGATTTTAAGTTCTTCTCACAGACATGGAAAAAGTAAGCCATTCTTTCATTAAGATCAAAGTGTGTACTGCTTACAAGATTCCCATAGGCAACTTCCAGGACAGGCTAACTGCTACCAGATTAGCCCTTCTATCATAAATGACTGGAAAACTGTACAAAATATAAGAAACTGTTCTCAGACACTGGAAATCAGGCAGCACAGGACGTGAGCCCTGAGAGGAGGGAAAGAAATGAGGTGAGACTTACCATCACTTCAGCTTTCTTCAGGGTTTCCCAAGGAGAGTATAGCAGGCTCAGCAGGCTCAGAGACAGAAATCAGAGTTGGAGGAGGCTGAAATTTACAATAAATTAAGTGTGAGAGGAGGGAGCTACACTGAGGAAAACCTCCAGAAAGAGGCTCTCAAATCCTCCGTTGTATACTAAGCTGTGCATGCCTACAGTGGGACCTCACAAGTCTGGTCAAAGCACAATTACAGGGGCGCTATAATCTGGAGTTCTGGCCAACCAGAGGGGAGCTTCCGGGGCATGTAGCAGTGACTCCACAAAGGCCATATCTTAGGAGTAAGGTTAAACTAGCCCTAGATTAATAACTGCTCTAATCCTTGCCTAATAAAGCCTTTTTTTTTAAGTTTTTACTTTAATTCCACTTGGTTAACATACAGTGTTATATTAGTTTCAGGTGTACAATATAGTGATTGCCAAATAGACCTTTAAAAGGAGTCCTAAAGGGGCGCCAGCATGGCTCAGTCATTAAGCGTCCACCTTCAGCTCAGGTCATGATCCCAGGGTCCTGGGATCGAGCCCCACATCGGGCTCCCTGCTCCGCGGGAAGCCTGCTTCTCCCTCTCCCACTCCCCCTGCTTGTGTTCCCTCTCTCACTGTCTCTTTCTCTGTCAAAAAGTAAAATCTTAAAAAAAGGAAAAAAGAGGAGTCCTAAAAAGGGGTGCTTGGTTGGTCTAGTTGGTTAGGCGTCTGCCTTCGGCTCAGGTCATGATCCCAAGGTCCTGGGATCAAGCCCCATGTCCGGCACCCTGCTCAGCAATAGAGTCTGCTTTTCCCTCCCTCTGACCCTCCCCGCTGCTTGTTCTCTCACTTGCTCTCTCTCTCTCTCAAATGAATAAGTAAAAAAATCTTTAAAAAAAAAAAAAAAGGAGTCCTAAAAAGATCAAAATGATCCACAAGTAAATTAACTGGCTGTTAGAATAAAGCCCACCCAATATTCTCTAAAGGATGATGACAGAATGCAAACAACCCATGATGTAATGTCTGTAGTGTCCAGCATTCAATAAGAAATTACCAGATATGCAAAGAAACAGGAAAATGTGTCCTGTAACTAGGAGAAAATTCAATCAATAGAAATAGCCAGAAATGGCAGGGATCACAGAGTTAGCAGATAAGTACTTTTAAAATAGCTATTATAAATGTGTTTAAAGATTTAAAGAAAAACAAGAACTCAAACAGAAGAGAAATGGAAACTACTAAAAAAAGACCCAAATGAAAATTTTAGAGCTGAGAAATACAATACCTGAATCAACACTGATGTTGACCAGATTAGGAAATCAGTTTAAAAGGTCAGTGTGTTAGTTCCCTATTGCCATATAACAAATTGCCCCAAAACTTGGTGGCTTAAAACAACAATTAACATTTACTCCTTCACAGTATTGTGGTCAGGAATCTAGCACAGCTCAGCTGGGTACTCTTGCTGAGGGTCTCCTGAGGTTGCAGTTAGGGCCACAATCCTCTCAAGATCCAGTTGGGGTAGGATCTGCTTCCAAGCTCACTGAGTAGTTGCTGGCAGAGTTCATTTCTTTGTGAACACCTGCAGTTCCTTGCCACACAGTCCTCTCCATAGGTGAGCTCACAAGATGGCAGCTGGCTTCAACAAAATAACCAAGAGTAAGAGAGTATTAGCAAGGAAGAAGTCACTGTCATTTATAACCTAACCTTAGAAGTGGTTTAGAAATACACTTTTGCTGAATTTTATTCATCAGAAGTAAGTCACTAGGGTCACCTGGGTGGCTCAGTCAGTTAAGCATCTGCCCTCAGCTCAGGTCATGATCCCGGGGTCCTGGGATCAAGCCCCATGTCGGGCTGCCTGCTCAGTGGGGAGTCTGCTTCTCCCGCACCCTCTCCCCCTCCCCACCCCGCTTGAGCTCACTTTCTCTCGCAAATAAATAAATAAAATCTTTTTTTAAAAAAAGTAAGTCATTAGGTCTAGGCCACACACAAGACAAGGAGATGACACAGAGTATGAAAAGCAGGAGACAGGATCACTGGGGACCACTTCAGATCAGCCTATCAAAATCAGTAAACTTTAAGACAGGACAATAAAATTATTCAGACTGAAGCACAGAGACAAAATATTGATGAGAAGAACAGACTGTGGAATAATATCAAGTGTTCTAACATACAGGTAATTTAATCTCAGGGATGGAGGAGAAAACTATTCCAGATTTGATTTAAAATACCAGTCCACCAATTTTGGAAGGCCAGTGAAGGCCAAACAGGATAAATACAGAGAAAACCGCATCAAGACCCATCATAATGAAATTGCTGGAAACCAGTGATAAAGAAAATCTTAAGAACAGCCAGAGAGGGGCACCTGATGGCTCAGTTGGTTAAGCGTCTGACTCTTAATTTCAGCTCAGGTCATGATCTCGAGGTTGTGAGATCGAGCCCCACATCTGGCTCCATGCTCCGTGGGGAGTCTGCTTGAGATTCTCTCCCTCTGCCCCTCCCCCTGTTTGTGCTCACTGTCTCTGTCCCTCTCAAATAAATAAATAAATCTTTTAAAAAGGGGGGGGCACCTGGGTGGCTCAGTCAGTTAAGTGTCTGCCTTCAGCTCAAGTCATGATCTCAGGGTCCTGGGATCGAGCCCCACATGGGGCTTCCAGCTTTGCAGGGAGTCTGCTTCTCCCTCTGCCCCTCCCCCCACCCCTCCCCCCTACTTGTTCTCTCTCTCTCAAATAAAATCTTAAAAAAAAAAAAAAAAAGAACAGCCAGGGAAACCAAGATAAGAATGATTGCTGACTTCTCATCAGAAATAATGTAATCCAGAAGACAATGGAGTGACATCTCTTAAAGTGCTAAAAGAAAATCTGTCAATCTAGAATTCTATATTCCATGAAAATGTCGTTCAGAAATGAAAGTGAAATAAAGACATTTTCAGACACTCAAAAGATGAAAGAATGTATTGCCATTAAGCCTTCACTACAAGAAAGGTTAAAGGCTGGAGGGGGTGGAAATGCCAGATAGAAACCCAGATCTACACAAGGAGCACTCAAAATGTCATTATTAGCAACTGCACAGAATGAACCAAGGAAAAGGAAATAAGCAAGAGAGTCCTCTGAACAGGGATTGGCAAACTATGGCCCAAAGGTAAATCTAGCCTACCACCTGTGAGCTAAGAATGGTTTTTACAGGTGAACATTTGCAATTGATTTGATGATAGGGAACACTAACTGTGAATTCCATTTAAGCAAAGTTATCTACCACCTGGAAAAAATTCTGTCCTCTTTAATAGACCTGTATTACACCTGCCAAAAAATGCATTTGACTGTTACATTTCAAATTTTGGCAATAAGAAATTTGGAAATTTTTTTTCTCATAAGTATCTATGAAATGTCCTTGATTTTGCTCTTGGCCTGCAAAGCCTATTATATTTACTATGTGGTCCTTTTCAGGAAAGGTTTGCTTGTCTTAGAGAGTGGAAGTAAAAAGACAAAGGGAACCTACCATGTACCAGTCAGTGTCCCACATGCTTTATATGCACTATTTAATTTTTACAACAGCTCTGTGAGGTTTTATATGCATTTATTATAGAATTATAGAATTGTTGATTTTATCCTAGCAACAGTGCTATGAGGCCGAGTTTATTCCTATTTTAAAGTACTGAAGAAACTGGGACTTCAAGAAGTTACATAACTTGTCCGAAGTTGAACAACATGGGGCATTAGGGGCACTGACCCCCACATAGTCAAAAATCTGTGTATAGGTTTTGACTCCCCCAAAACTTAACTAATAGCATGTAGTTGACCAGAAGCCTTACTGGTAACATAAACAGTAGATCAACATGTTTTGTACATCATATGTATTATGTTACATACTGTATTCTACAATAAAGTAAGCTAGAGAAAAGAAAATTGTAAGAAAATCATAAGGATTACTTGTGAAAATACATTTATGATACTGTACTGTATTTGTTGATACCGTAAGTTTATATACCTACTGAAAAAACTCTAGTAATGAGTGAACCCACACAGTTCAAACCCATGTTGTTCAATGGTCGACTGTATAAATGGTAAGAGGTTTATATTCTCTCTGCCACTGACACGGAGCCAAGGCACTTAAACCTCCGTGCTGCTTTGATGGAAGAGTATCCCATGCCCCAGCTCAGACTCTCTAAAGTCTTCTTTTTTAACAGATTTCAACCATGCTTGATTATCTGGTTTTTCATCCTAAAGGATATTAAATGTGGAAAATTAGAAGAGGGAGAGAAAGAATGACAATAAAGACAATGGGATGTAAAAACTTACAAGAGTTGACCAAAACAAAAACTACTAAGCGATCCAAGAACTCAGCAGAGTAGTACGGCAGCATAGAACTATTTTGTGGCAAGACATAGAGCCTTTTGCAACCCCGAAGAAATCA